CTATTCAGAGGTGCCTGGGGAAGAACAACAAACTAAACACACAATAGAACACTACACTATACACTACACTATACACTACACTACTATACACTACACTATACACTACACTATACACTACATTATACACTACACTATACACTACACTACTATAACTACACTATACACTACACTATACACTACACTATACAATACTATACACTACACTATACAATATACTATACACTATACACTACACTATACACTACACTATATAACTACTATACACTACACTATACACTACACTACACTATACACTACACTATACACTACACTATACACTACACTATACACTACACTACTATACACTATACACTACACTATACACTATACACTACACTACTATACACTATACATTACACTATACACTACACTATACACTACACTATACACTACACTATACACTACACTATACACTACATTATACACTACACTATACACTACACTATACACTACACTATACACTACATTATACATTACACTATACACTACACTACTATACACTACACTATTATACACTACACTATACACTACACTATACACTACACTATACACTACTATACACTACACTACTATACACTACACTATACACTACACTATACACTACACTATACACTACACTATACACTACACTATACACTGCACTATACACTATACTACTATACACTACACTACTATACACTACACTATACACTACACTACACACTACACTATACACTACACTATACACTACACTAGAACAACACACCAGCAGTTCTAATGAAACCACGATGCTTGTAGAAGCAGCAGCAGCAGCAGCAGCTAGAGATGAGTGACGGGCAGGTGACTGACGCACTTTGCCAACGAACGGTGATCATCAAATCGTCGCTCGCTCTCAGTGCGACTTCGCCATGACGACAACAGTAGAGCAGTGAAGTTGTGATGTGGATGCGGGCAAACATCCTCAGTGGGATTCCAGTAGACGGGATGCATCGGTGGAGGAATTATGTCCGTCCGGTAGCCACTCACCCATCTAGCCACTCAACTACCCACTTACCTGCCTACCTACCCACCTGCCTACCCATCTATCCACCCACTCACCCACCCACATGCCTACCCACCCACCCAGCCACCCACTCACCCATCTAGCCACTCAACTACCCACCCACTTACCTACCTACACACCCATCTACCCACCCACCTACCCACCCACTTACCTGCCTACCTACCTACCTACCCACCCACCCACTTACCTGCCTACCTACCTACCTACCCACCCACCCACCTACCTACCCACCCACCTACCTACACACCCATCTACCCACCCACCCACCTGCCTACCCATCAACCCACCCACCCACCTACCCACCCACTTACCTGCCTACCTACCTACCTACCCACTTACCTGCCTACCTACCCACCTGCCTACCCGTCTATCCACCCACCCATCCACATGCCTACCCACCCACCCACCCAGCCACCCACTCACCCACTTACCTGCCCACCTACCTACCTGCCTACCCACCCACCTACCTACCCACCTACCCATCTACCTACCCACTTACCCGCCCACCTACCCACCCACCACCCACCCACCTACCTACCTACGCACCCACCTACCTACCTGCCCACCCATCTACCCACCCAACTAACTAATCACCCACCCAGCTAACCACCTACCCACCCACCCACCTACCCACCCACCTACCCACCCACCTACCCACCTACCCACCTACCCACCTACCTACCCACTCACCTACCCATCTACCCACCCACCCACCCGTCTATCCACCCACCCATCTACCCACCCACCCACCCACCTACCCACCCACCCACCCACCCACCTACCTACCTACCTACCCACCCACCCACCCACCTACCCACCTACCCACCTACCTATCCACTTACCCGCCCACCTACCCACCCACCCACCTACCCACCTACCTACCCACCTACCTACCAACGCACCCACCCACCCACCCACCCACCCACCTACCTACCTACCCACCCACCTACCCACCCAACTAACCAATTACCCACCCACCTACCCACCCAGCTACCCACCTCCCCACCCACCTAACCACCCACCCACCTACCCGCCCACCCCTCCACATATCCACCCACCCACCTACCCACCTACCCACCCACCTACCCACCTACCCACCTACCTATCCACTTACCCGCCCACCTACCCACCCACCCACCTACCCACCTACCTACCCACCTACCTACCTACGCACCCACCCACCCACCTACCTACCTACCTACCCACCCACCCACCCACCCACCTACCCACCCAACTAACCAATTACCCACCCAACTACCCACCCAGCTACCCACCTCCCCACCCACCTAACCACCCACCCACCTACCCACCCACCCACCCCTCCACCGATCCACCCACCTACCCACCTACCACCCACCACCTAACCACCCACCCACCTAACCACCCACCCACCCACCTACCCACCCACCCACCCAGCCACCCACCCACCCACCCACCAATCCACCTACACACCCACATACCCACCCACCCACCCAGCTACCCACCCACCCACCCACCCACCCAGCCACCCACCCACCCACCCACCCACCTACCCACCCACCCACCTAGCCACCCACCCACCCACCCAGCTACCCACCCATCTACCCACTCATACACCTACCCACCCACCCCCACCTACCCACCCACCTAACCACCCACCCACCCACCTACCCACCCACCTATCTACCCACCCACCTACCTACCCACCCACCCACCTACCCACCCACCCACCTACCTACCCACATACCCACCCACCCAACCACCTACCCACCCACCTACCCACCCACCCACCTACCCACCCACCCACCTACCCACCCACCTACCCACTCACCCACCCACCTACCCACCTTCCCACCCACCCATCTACCCACACACCCACCTACCCACCTATCTACCCACTCACCTACCCACCCACCACACCGCGGGTCTCCCCTAGGTCAACTCAGCCTCGAATGGATGGGTGGGGAGGGGTGGGCGTTGTGCAGAACGTGAGTTTGGTCCTCCAGCACCCAACGCTTTCCACGTTTGGCTGTCCCCGTCATAGGAATGTGGAATTTCCACGACTAGATTTTTTTCCTTAGGGGGGGTGTGGTGTGGGGGGGGGGGGTGCGAGGGGTGGTATAGCACTCGGAAAATCATCTCCGGTGGCTTTGTTTGCTTTGTTGTCGACACATATTTTCGCGAACTCACAATGGATTTCAAAATAAATAAATAAGGCGCGTGCGCGTATGCGTGTGCCCTTTGATGTTGAATAATATTATTATTATTTTTTCATCAAACTTGAGATTCCGAAACGAAATGCCAGCACCACTATCAAAACCACCACCACCACCACCATCAACAACAACAACAGAGACAAAAGTGCCCCTGAACCCCGTAAAGCCTTCACAGGCGGTTCGGGGCAAGTGCTGTGAGCGATTTAGAAGCAGCAGCAGCAGCATCACCACCATCACTACCATCACCATCACCACCATCACCATCACCACAATCACCACCATCACTACCATCATCACCATCATCACCATCATCACCACCATCACCACCATCATCATCACCATCACCACCATTACTACCACCATCATCACCATCACCACCATCACTACCATCATCACCATCACCATCATCACCATCATCACCATCATCACCACCATCACGATCATCATCACCATCACCACCATCACTACCATCACCACCATCATCATCACCAGCACCACCATTACTACCACCATCATCACCATCACCACCATCACTAGCATCATCACCATCACTACCATCATCACCATCATCACCATCATCACCACCATCACCACCACCATCACCACCACCATCACCACCATCACCACCATCACCACCATCACCACCATCATCACTACCATCACCACCACCATCATCATCATCATCACCATCACCACCATCACTACCATCATCATCACCACCATCATCATCACCATCATCACCATCACCACCATCACTACCATCATCATCACCACCATCATCATCACCATCACCACCATCACTACCATCACCACCATTACTACCATCACCATCACCACCATCACCATCATCACCATCATCACCACCATTACCACCATCACTACCACCATTACCACCATCGCCATCATCA